GAACCAAGTGGAGGATTAACAACCCTCACTACTATATTCAGGATAGAAGCTCTGCAGGTAGTTGTTGGCCCAACTACAAGTCAGGTTGTCCTCCAGGGAATATCACCCTGAGGTATCAAAAGAAGACTTCTGTGTTTAAAAACAAATCCTCATTTTTGAGGTCATCTAACTGAAGTCTACACTTGGGTGAACCAGTATAGACTTAGTAGAGTGCTTAAGGAAGTCAACAGACATTGACTTTGTTTTTTTTAATAGCCAGAAGGTAGCCTAACAGAAGCTACCCTCTGACAATATCCCTTTAAGGCATGGAGATGTCTGTCAGTTTATCTATGTGTGTGAGAGAGTAGGTTTGAATTGATGAGATTTTAAATATCTGTTTGTCTGTAATATGTCTATAACAGAGTGTAAGGGAAGAGTGACATAATTCGAAGTTCTAATAATTTTAACACAAGGGTGTCAAACCCTTGTTTCAGAATATACTCTTTTAAGGAAGGAAGGAGCTGAAGTCAGGGTATATAACCCCCCCCCCTCCTCTAATCTCAAGGGCCTAGTTCCCTGTCCTCACCTTTACCACAATACCTAACTTGAACACTAGTACACTTTCAGGATCATCCACTAGGAGCTCAGCTCAATCAGTGCTTTGTTCATAAGGTAGAAGTACATAAGTTGAAAACCTTTAGGGGACTGGTAGTCCTCCATCCTTGCCTACCTAGTGTGGCTTCTTGGAATTTTGGAGATGTTCCCAAGTGTTACAAGAGAAACTACCCAGGCAAGTTCCAAGAGATAGTTTAAAAAGTAATCCCTTGATTTGAAAAGGTGAAAGTTAGTCTTTCCTCCCTGAAGGTCTCCCAATAAACAGATAACCTCAGTAATCTCCTAGTTGGAGCAACAAATAACAATCTGCCTCTGGTTATGAGATTGGTTGACTCTGACAATAAAACCCTCTTATCAGAGGTCAACTAACTGTAGTCTGTTCTTGAGAGTCTCAGTGTAGACTTTTACCAGTAAGTTGTCTCAGGCTGGAATCCTTACTAGCTCTTCTCCCTTGCTTATACTCAGGAGGTTAGCCTCAAAGAAGCTCACTCCTGACAATATCTAGGGTTAATAAATTTAGGTTTAGAGTAGCAAGATGTACAATGTTTGGGTGTTTACATTCTGTGGTGTGACTGGGAAATATGTAACCAAAATATTACACTCAAATTCTAGAAGAATTTTTAGTGGAAACATGGACAGGTGTGTATCCAAGGCCCAGCATTGGATTGAGACACAATGCATGACCAAGGGTCCAAAAAAGGTACAGACTTGGT